CTCCCTTCTTTGCCTCCCCAGAATCCGCGACCAAATCCGCGCCCCCATGCCCGAGCAAGCCCACTACGATCCCAGCACTCTGGTGTTTCCGAGAGTGCGTTGGCCGATGCAATCGCAGCGTCAACACTGGCATCACGCCGCACTCCGTCCCCGTCCAAAGATCATAGCAGCAACAGTAGCAACCCTCCCCCGCTACCGCCTAGTCGACGATCAAGATCTCGCTCGTTTCTGCAAGTTAGCCACAGTGGCAACAGGAGCGACCGGCCAGGAAGGGGAGACAATGGCAAAAGCCCCAGGACACCCAGCCCCAACAAGACGACGACCATGAAACGGACAATGCGAGCCCCCGCCCTCTCTGACCCGGACTTTGCAGCCGGTGAGATACATCGAAGCAAGGAACACGGCCGGAAAATCATCCGAACGCACCCGCATAAGCATCGGGAAGGCGATCGCAAGCGCTGGCGTGACAGGGTGACTGCATCGGAGAAGAAGCGCTACGAAGGGGTGTGGGCCGCGAACAAAGGCCTGTTCGTAGGCGTGCATGAACAGATCAACATCAAGGATAGATCTGTTATCCTGGAGGAGACTGTGTCAAGCATGGTGGTCCGGGACATCTGGACTCGGAGCAGGCTACCGACGCAGATGCTGGAACAGATCTGGAATACCGTCAGCCACCATGCATATGGGCTGCTGTCTCGGGAGGAATTTGTCGTAGGGATGTGGTTGATCGACCAGTGTCTGAAAGGGCATAAGCTGCCCGTCAAAGTATCACAGAGCGTATGGGACAGCGTGAGAGTGGTATCCTCAGGGGCAGCCAGAGGCCACTGACCAGAGACACATCACTTTGTATTTTCACTATTCTTTCCACCGAGAAAGGGCAAGAACAGCGGTTAGATGATGCCTTGAGGGGGCTGCATTCGCCGAGTAGCCACCATGCTCCTTGCAGAGTAGTCACCAAAAGCAAAGACATCCCTGGACAGCAGAGAGCACCGATCGAACTTCCTCTACGGAGTGCTCACTCCCTCCAGGGCCAGAACTCACGATCACTAACCAGCCACACGCCAATTGAAATACCCGGGAGGAACATCCAAAACGTCAACGTCGATGCGTTTGCCCAGGCAGCAAAACAGATTCTATTCTATTATTGGGCCACTCCTGGTAGCTCTCCCATTAGAAGACTTTGCCTTATCTTTCATCCATGCACCTAAGCTGGCGCCCATCGAACGAGAATAATAATAGCCACAAAACAGCTTCTTCTCCGCCATCCGCCCAGGCTACCTACGGGAGATCCCAGTGGCTTGCTCCATCATCATCATCATCCCCCCAGTCACGGTCCCAGGGCTCCATCCCCGTCCCCAGACATGGCATGGCCCATCCAGCATCGTGGCCCATAACTAATAATATATGTAACGAAGGGAAAGAAAGAAAAGAAAAGAAAGGAAAACGATCAATTTTACTGTTAGCGAAGACATCCCCATCCTTGCAGTTTGTAATATGTCGCAGGTTCGTGAAGCTTATTTGGGCTCTCTTTCGCTCAGCTGCAGCTTCATCCCAGGTTTTCTTTTCTCTCTCTTCTCATCATTCTTCGTATCGATGGATGGACTCACTAGTCGGATATGTTTTCTTCTTCCTCTTGTGCACACGATCTCTCGAGAGTCGTAGCTTATATATATATATATATATATATATACATGTCCTCGCAGGCAAAAAAAGAGCTCGTAGCACAGGAGAAGAAAGCATGCATAAAAGTACATATCAAACCAACAACCCAAGGCGGAAAAAGGAACAAGAAGGCTGGAATAGTTGTAAGTAAAAGAGAGAGAGAGAGAGAAAAGAAAGGAAAGGAAGTAGTCAAGGGTCCTTCCTGTCCGTCCGCCTGTCCGTCAGTCTGTCTGCTGTCTATCGCTCGATCTCTGGCATCTTGTTGCTTTTTTGCCTGGCTTATTATTCGCAAGGACTGGAGGGATGACTATCCATCCATTATTAGTTACATCCATTAGCTACTAATATATAAAAGGTGCAGACGACAGGAGGGAGTCCCCCTGGAGCCGCTCGCCGTTCTCCGGATCAACCTCGCCAGCTCGTTTCTCTCGTACGGGAGAGAAAAGTACATCTGCCTGGGGGGAGTTCTTATGCATCGAACGGTCGACCGTACGAGCAGTAGGAACGGGACTCCGGCTCTCTGCTGATGGTGTCTATACGGATTATACATATTATATATATGTATATATATATATATGATGACAGGACGGAGTAGAAGCATCCCTAGATATCTCCCCGCGCCCAGAGCCAGTCTCGGTCTCTCCTGGTCTTCCGTCTCTTCGTCTCACCAGTTCCGACCCGTTCGACCGGCCAATCCCTTAAGTTAGCCATCGAGGACGTCGCCTTGCTGGCTGCTCTTCTTGCTGCTCTCCTGCTTGTCCTCTGCAAGTAACTACTCATCCGCTGCTGGACGCCCATCTGCCCCGAGAGACAATCAGACAGACAGAGAGAGCTGGACTCTCTCAACGACGCTGCAACTCCCGTACTTAGGTCAACAACTGCCTTGACTTTGCGCCTGCTCCATGGTGGATATCTTGCTTGCTCTCTCTGCTGCTGCTTGCTGGCTAGTCACAGCTCGTCTGCCAACCAGCTAACCTGACCGGCCAGGCCATCCAACTTAGCCTCCAGCCTCGTTCCATACATCACATTTTCTCCCTTCCCTTTCTCCCCTTCACCATCCTTTAGTTCTCTCTCCCCTTGTCCCCCCGAGCATATATCCGGACAAACTTTTAGCGCCTAATTTTTTTTTTTTTATCTCGAAGGCCCAGGCAAGGGGGAGGTGGT